TTACCTCCTATATCCCTAAGCATGAAAAAGGACAAAAGAAATAGACCTTCAAAAGCCTAACTGAACACCTGGCAATGTTTAGCCACAAGAAATAACAAGAGTAAAGTTGGAGTTAAGTCTGTAAGAAAGAGAAAAGCAAGTGTTTGAATAACAGTGAGCAGCTACTCCTAGACAAGAAAGGCTAAGAGGGGAGCTTTTACATTTGAATTGGGAGGGAGGTGGAAAACACATTAATTGTAGATGCTAAAGAAATAAACAACCACCTTTTTAAAAAATTAGAAAGTAGGGAGAGAAGGAGTAGCCAATTTTAAAAATCCTTTTTAATCTTCTATATAGTAATTCTATAAAGCATTAAATGCTCTCATCTTTATGAAATAGGTTATTGTTTCTAAACAAGTTTTAACTGAAAATTACTGAATAGTCACTATGGGCCAAGCTCTGAAAAATGAAAATAATAACCACCTTTTTTTTTTTTGAAGATTTTAAGTAATCTCTACAACACCCAAAATGGGACTTGAACTCACAACCCTGAAATCTACCTACTGAGCAAGCCAGGTATACCCTACCTTAAAAAAAAAAAAAAACAAAAAACAGAAAAACAAAAAAATCCCTCTTTTTATGCTAACTTGGATAAACCACTTAATCTGTAACCTTAGTTTCATTGGCAAAATACTATATTAGGAATGTTTTTAGGATTTTTAGGTAATGGCAAAATAGCAATTAGAAAAAGGAGATAACTCTTTTTTAGGATACTCTTTTTTAGAAATTTAGGACCATGAGAAAAAATGTGTAAATCATGAGAAATAAAGTTCTTATAGGATGGGCAGGCTGTGGAAAAGAGGTACCAGATACCAGAATCATCCTGGGAGATTTTTCCATAATACACATGTCCATATATATCCTCAATCTGAGTTACAATTTCCAGAGTGAAAACAAATGCGCACATATAAAATACCCAAGTAGAGGTGCCTGGGTGGCTCAGTCATTAAGCGTCTGCCTTCGGCTCGGGTCATGATCCCAGGGTCCTGGGATCGAGCCCCACATCGGGCTCCCTGCTTGATGGGGAGCCTGCTTCTCCCTCTCCCACTCCCCCTGCTTGTGTTCCCTCTCTCACTGTGTCTCTCTCTGTCAAATAAACAAAATCTTTAAAAAAATTAAAAAATAAAATAAAATAAAATTCCCAGGTAGTTATGACACCATCTTCTCTCTAACTCTCCCTATTGCCATTTGAGAATAATGAACTAAAGACATCACTGATATTAATAAAGGAGGATAATTAAAAAGCATGGAATTATTTTGTGCTTGGACAAGACAGAAATATAATGAATACAACCTGTAGACTGGAACTGAGACAAGAACAGAATTATTCATGGAATCACTATATGAAAAGGAAGCAAGGTGGAAACATGGGGCAAGGGCGTTGGGTGATGGGAGGTATTTTGGTTGTTTCTCTGAAAAATAACTCAGGAAGTAAGGTAATTTTTTTTTTTAAAGATTTTATTTATTTTTTGACAGAGAGAGAGACAGCGAGAGAGGGAACACAAGCAGGGGGAGTGGGAGAGGGAGAAGCAGGCTTCCTACAGAGCAGGGAGCCCAACGCGGGACTCGATCCCAGGACCCTGGGATCATGACCTGAGCTGAAGGCAGACACTTAACGACTGAGCCACCCAGGTGCCCCGGAAGTAAGGTAATTATTATTACACAGGAAAAAAGGCCACTGAACAAATATGTAATTTTTGTGCACATAACACTGATACTAAATACAATTTAAACTGAAAAGGGTACAGTCCTTGCTAATTTTGCAGATACAATCTAAAATAACAGACAAGACCTATACAAATAACATTTACAAAGACATTTCCATATAGTTTTCAAACTTTAAAGAATTTTTTATAGTATTTAAATTGGGAAGATAATATGAATAGGTTGGGATAATAAGATTATGGGAAGAGAAAACAGAGGATGGGATGAAAACAAGAAAGGAGAGACATGGCTGAAGGAAGCTTAGAAAGGAATGTATACCCTGGATCTCTTCAGATTGTCAATCTAAGATCAGTTCAATACTCATGGGTAATACTGACAGATGTAGATGAAAGGAATAGGGATGGGCCTAAATAGGGATGATGCTAATCTATGTCATCAATGCTTTGGTGTCCAGTTAATAAATCTGTTATTACTGTTGCTATTGAATCAACACAATCTCAAAATTCGATTAGGCATATGCCCATGGGCAGAGTCCCCCAAAAGCCAGAAAAAGATGTTATCAGTAGATAATATATCCAGAAAAATGACCAAATTATATCAAAGAATTTGGTACAAGGAATTTACTTGTTAATGCTAGAGTTCAAGAAAAATAATCATTGGCACTACTATTTATCAAGTGCTTTTTGGACTATGGTTAAGTAATTTACATGTGTTATTATTATCACATTTAAGCAATACAACCACCCTATATGGTATGTAGTTATAATCCATATTTTATAGATGGCAGCATTGAAGCTTACAGAAAAGAAGTGATTTGCCCAAAGTTGCATAGCCATGAGTAATACAATAGAGGCAGAAAGTAAGGCTAGGTCTGATACTAAAGCCTGAGCTAAACAGCTAAAACCTATATAATATTTTTAACTTAAAATATGAAGTATAAGATATTTAGGGTCTAACACAGCAAAATGTGTCCAAAGTAAAATTTTCAAATATATAACTACACCAAAAAGATGGAAGAAATTTCAGTAACACCACTGAGTAGGTCTAGGTAAAAGCATGTAGCTAAATAGCTGAGTTATAAACTAATGGTGAGTTAGAGTACATGAGGGAACACAATTCAAAAGTCCATCCAAGAAATGCTGTTAAGGTTCAAATATGAACAAGGGAATTCAATCAAAGGTAGCAATGATAGTAATTCCCAGAAAGTTATTATAGAGCTTTGAACAGGGAGAGATTGGACATCAGTTTGATTCCTTTATGCTAAAGCAGAAAATAGACACAGAGGGGAAGCAGAAGCTCATCCTATCAAATTTCCAAGAATAATTCTCCCTAATCTGTTTGTTGGTGAGGCTGCCAGCAACATTACTTTTCTTGGCAGTTCACATAGATAAGCAAAAACGGGGGACTTAAGTATATAGAGATCTGAGCCCATATCCAATAAAATATACATAGGCCCCTGCCTTACATAAAACAGAGCTACTTTGCCTCCATGAACTTGTAAACAAGGCCATAATTTATAATACAATCAGATATTCCTATAGGTAACTATGATAAGTACAAAGTAAGGAAATCAAAGTTCTAAGGTTCTGGATCTCAGGCTTCTAAATTAAGACAGTCACAGATAAATTAATTCTTTCCCACTCCCCACCCCTACTCCCAACTTGCAAACCTATACAAACAAACAAACAATAAATACTGCTTTAAAAATATGGGAAATAAGCATTAAAAAGAGGATGATAAAAATAACTGTAAAGGAAGGTTCTTTCCTTTGTATTATATAAAGGTAGTATTTAAAGACAAAATATAGACCTAAAAGAGGTAATGGAGCAAGAGGATATGTACCCCCAGTCATAACGAGGTAAAGAATTCAGAGACCATCCATGAAAATCAGTACTAAAAAGTCATACTGAAATGGCATTCAATTACACATTTTTTCAAATGTAGGAGGCATCATTTTCATACCTGTGCAGAAAAAGTCAATAAATGTTATTAACACAAGCATATGTTAATAAGCTTTCATAATAAAAAACAGAACAGCTAAGGAGTATGTATTTTTAAAAGTTTCTTGGAAGCACAGTTAATTCAGAAAATTAACAGAGATTTAGAAAATTGTGAAGAATACTAAGTTAAATATCTTTATTTGAAAAGGAGTCAGGGGAGCCTGGCTGGCTCAGTTGGAACAAACATGTGACTCTTGATCTCTGGGTCGTGAGTCTGAGCCCCACATCAGGTGTGGAGTTACCTAAATAAATAAAACTAAAAAAAAAGAAAAAAAGGAGTCAAAGGACATAAAGCAGATGATTAAACAGTGAAAAGCAGTGTTCTGAGAATGCGGACAAATGGAGATATTGAAAAAGAAACAATGAAGGTATAAAGGAATAGAAAACAATGCAAAGGAATGCAGGTGATTACACAGGGAGCTAAACAGACAACTTGGAAAAATATTAATTTGAAAAACTAAAGAGAAAAATTTATAAATACAGTTATCAGGGGCGCCTGGGTGGCTCAGTTGTTAAGTGTCTGCCTTCGGCTCAAGTCATGATCCCAGGGTCCTGGGATGGAGCCCTGCATTGGGCTCCTTGCTCTGCGGGAAGCCTGCTTCTCCCTCTCCCACTCGCCCTCTTGTGTTCCCTCTCTCACTGTGTCTTTCTCTGTCAAATACATTTAAAAAAAAAATCTTAATAAAAATAGAAATAAATACAGTTATCAAAAGAGCAAAGAATGTAATATAAAATTAACACTTAAATCTCAGTATACCATGAAAAATTTTGAAGTGTTTCTAATCAAGGAGACCAAGCAAGAGGATATGCATGGGTCCAGCAGATATATGTCCCTGGAAATGCTCAAAGCTAATGGTGGTACTTAGAGTCACATTCCTAAGCAAAAGAGAGAGAGGTTCTTAATAATGCTAAGGGCTGCAATCATAGAAAACTGTCCTTCAGAACATGTGACTTCTAAGTTTAGGTTTGCTCATTATGCTAAAAATAGGCTTGATGAGAAGGTATAATGACTAAAAGAGCATCCACTGAGTCTCCACTGCTTCTGAAATCTAAATTTGAGACTACTTCTCTAGTGCTCATAGAAAACAAGTGAAGTAGAAGCTCTGGAAGCCTGAGACAGCAGGTGGAGGACCCTTGATGAAGAACTAGGAAATTTCTGAGTATGGAAGTTGGAAAATACAGGTTATCAAATGTTCTCTTTCTTGAGATTAAAAATATTTATAAAACATAAAAAATAATGGGGTACCTGGCTGGCTCAGTTGGTGAAGCATGCAACTCTTGATCTTGGGATTGTGCGTTCAAGCCCCATGTTGGGTGTAGGGCTTACTTAAAAATAAATAAATAAATAAATAACACACAGAGTAAATCTTTCTTAAGCTGAAAGACATAAAAAGAAGCAAAGAGGAATGTTCCAATTTGGAAAAAAAAAAAAATACACAGCAAGAAAAATGAACACTTCCCATTTGGTTTCTTGCTATTAGAAAGGAGCTGATTATGTTCCCCATTGTCCTTGAGGACCACCAAACCTACCATGTGGTAATGTTATGTTTGCACCATCAATGATTGCTTGTGCCAGTTCATGATCATTGCTTTCAAAAGCATGTGCAGCAGCCTTCAAGGCATCCCAAATCTCTTTACGGCCTTCAAAAGCTGGTGCAGTATCCCAAAATTCATCCCTCTTGCTGCGCAGTTGTCCATCTGTCATGGGATAATCGCTTTTCCATTTGGGTTTCTCCTTTTTCAAAGGCTGGTTACGACCTAAAGCGACTGAAAAGAAAAATAAAAAGCTGTCATCAAAACCAAAATTTACAAATGATGTATTAAAAGTTATCTGGTCATTCCTCTTTGATTCATTCATCAAAATTATAGCTAGAAGTTTGCCTAATGATTAATTCTTGGATTCTGAAATTTCCCCTATTTTAGAACTATAAGAGCAAATGGAGACATTAGATGGCTCTATCCAAAATGTCCAGTGACAAGTTAGTAACTCTTTTCAACTCCATATGCCTTCTCCAAAGGATTTTAAGAATTACTTAGAAAAACAGCAATAAGTGTTTCATCAGACAGTAACGGCAGGATTTAAAAAAAGTCAAAGGATGCCATACAAGAGAAGTAAGATACTAGGAAAAATCAAGTAGCAACATTAGCTTGAAGCTTAGAACTCTGGACATATAAAGCCAGAAAGCAGGAACTGAGAAATCCTTAGCAGGGGAAATACTGCTCTGCAGTGTCCAAAGGAACAGTCAAACCACCATTCCATGAGGAAACCCTACTCTGAACTTCAGTCAAGGAACTGTAAATGCCTCTCTCTGAAACCTATATAGGAGTTAACTTTGAAAAGGGTGAGAAAGAAGGTCAGAAATCATGGCTTCACTCTTTGGAGAAAATAGGACTGAACAGGTGATCCTTGATACTGGACCACGGGAGAAGTTCCTAACTACAAGAAACAAAAACTACAACACCCTACTCAAGTTTCAAACCTAGAGGAGAAGAAAAAAAGAGGACAAGAGTCCACTCCTTGTTTGCTGTAAAAGGCAGCAGAGCTCCTTAGAGAATGTTACATAGTGGTAGGGCTAGAACAAGTCTGATGAAGCTTCTTTCACCCAGATACTTACCTGGGCTATGATCACTGATCTCACACTGACACAGAGAGCCATTCTTAATCTTATACGGTGCCATAGATAAGAAATAGTTTGACAAATGGAAAAATTGGTAAAAAGAAATTTGAAGCTTGATGGAGTCCTGGGTAAGAGTGGGTGGGAAGTAAATGACAGAGTGGTGGGAAGGAGAGGGTGTGCATCAAAATTCAATGTTCTATATTTAACTGCAGAAAGAATACTAATTTAAAAGAAATTACTCTCAAAATCGTTCTAAAGAAGCCATGAAATTATCCACTCCCTGACTGGCCCAGTACCAAATGAAATTTGGGTTATTCATAACAGAAATAAACAACATTACTCCAGTTCCTGGGCAAGCTCTATACCCTACACAAGGCTATGTTCCCGATGACAGAACAAACTAATGCTGCAAGCAAAGTGTATCTGGATTGACACCTGGATTAAACCATGCTCTTTCCACCTCATCTGGCCATTTTATCTCAAGGCAGCACACATCAGGTCTCATCCTCTACCTTCGGAGTGGCACACCATGCCATTGCAAGCTCTTTTTCTCTTAAAACATTCAGTGTTTTGATTCCTCGTACTTTCTGGCCCTGTAACTTATCCTAGTGAAATGCCAACCAGCTGAATTCTAAAAGAGTAGGGACAGCAAAGTAGGAGAACGGTCTATTTAGTAGCAGAGCTAGAAAAAGAACCCAAGTATCCTTATTTAACAAATATGTACTGAACATCCACTAAGGGCAACACTATAGATGTGTGTAACAAGTTTAATTCAAATGTGAGAAACACAGTCTATACTAATGACTTTCCCCTGTATTTTCCAAATAATAAATAAATGTATACAGCACATTATTCTCTAAAAGATGTTCAGAATATGTCAGATAATCACAATCCACCCCCTACTGATCTACCAACAAGGTAAAATGAAAGGCAAATTTATTTTCTGTTATAGTAACCTTTTTTTTTTTTTTTTTAAGATTTTATTTGTTTATTTGACAGAGAGAGACACAGTGAGAGAGGCAACACAAGCAGGGGGAGTGGGAGAGGGAGAAGCAGGCTTCC